GGCGGCGCGGGGAGCGTACATATCTATCTATAAATATATGTATATCTATATCTATACTCTATACTAATATAAAAAACGTAAACCCACACTACTTAGTTATGTAGGATGTCAGTATGTTTTTAAATAATTATTTTTTAATAAAAAGATACACACTTACGACACGCTTTAGCCTAAATATTACACGCTATTAAATTTAGGGAGTAAATAATTTAAGTAAATACCGTCATGCCGGAAAGAGACAAAGTATCTATACATCTTACTTCATATCTGAATATATGAATGCGAAATGCTTAGATGGATGGATGGACGTTTGTTAGAGTTTATAGCTTAAAGAGCTCAACTAATCTTGAATTTGGCATAGATGTAGAAGATATTTTGGAAGAACACATAGGCCACTTACTTTTGTTTTTTTTTTAATTCCACGAGGTCGAAGTCGCGGGCGAAAGGTAGTATTCTAATAATTTTATGAACATGACGTACTTTCGTTCCTCAAGGCCACATTTGTACCTGACAATATCTGATAGTTGCGGATATATTATAGACTCCGTCCGCGTGATATTAAAAAAACAAAAACAAAAGAGAGTAGCGTATGTGTTCTTACTACCTATCTTCTATATCTACACCGAATTTCATCAAATCCGTTCAGCCGTTTAGGCTACAAACGATAACAAACTTCCATCAATTCATCCATCTATCTAAACATTCGCATTTATAATATTAGTATGAAGTATGACATATAGGATACTTTTTAAAAAATTCCACTTTTACGGAGCAAGCCCGGTGAATATGTAAATGCCTCTACAAGGCAAACAGTGGCACTTCAGTTACAAAAACAAATCGTGCGTTGCAGATGTACAGGAGCAGTTGGACGCGGCGGTGACGCGCGCGCACGCGGCGGGTCTTAAGCTGTGCGGCGCGCTGCGGCAGCTGGCGGGGCGCGCGGGCGGCGCGGGCGGCGGGGGCGGCGCGGGGGGCGCGGCGGGCCGCATTGCGCGGCTGCAGTACGCGGGCGCACGTCGCCGCTGCGCCGCTGCGCTGGCGGAGCACACGCAGCTGCTGCAGCTCCTGCGCGACGACCGCGCGCGACTGTTGCACGAGCAGATCAAGCTGAGTAAGATAAAGTAAATTTTTTTTAAATGAATAAAATGGTGTATACCTACTGTACCGAGTACTGTATCCAAAACGGTCACGTTCAACATATATTACATATTTCGGCCTAAATCCATTAAGTTAAAACAAAATCCAAATCGGTCTTTTATGAGAATGGCGCCCACAGACCATAGACCACAGACACACAGACAAAGCAACAAAAATAATAATAATTCTTGGGCATTCTTTTGGAGAAAAGAAAATTATTTTTATGCTTATTAAATATGCTTTATCTTCCTTGACAAAGAAACTCGAAAATGTATATAGTGCCTACTTCATAAATAATATTGTAACATTTTTCACATAAACTCACTAACGCTCTATATTCTCGTACTACCTTATATAGCGATCTTCAAAACCACATGTCAATATAGTAAAATTAAATTAATTGCCAACATATGTAATTGAATAATATTTATAATTGTTGAAAAATGTTTTATTTCATGTCAATACGCGGTGGCACTAAACTTAACAACAGACCTACCTGTCATAGAAAGTGCCACTGACATATATATTGTTCACTTTGCCTCGTATGTCTTTATTTATTAAATGTCCTTGTCTTTGACCTTGATTCTTTTTCCAAATGTGGAATCGTTGGGTGTTGGGTGTTGGGTGTTGGGTGTTGGGTGAGGACTTGAGTGATCAAAAATGTTTCGAACGTGCCTTTTAAATCTCAGCTCTATGCGATTAAACGCATCTACAATTGCGGATGTCTATGGGCAGCGGTCGCTTCGCCATTTTGGCGGTTTCAGGTGGTCGCTTGCTCGTTTGCCACCTTATGTTGTATATAAAAAAAAACAATAATTTAGTTTCAACATTTAATTTCATTAATTTGGGTTTAAGATATAAATATGATTTTTACTTATGAATTACCGAATGAGGGGCGCTAAAAAGGTATTGTTCCCCCAGCACGAGGTAACCTCGCAATTCCTTTGAGTATATACTCGTATAATTTAAACTATCATAAAAAGGCGCATGATTTAACGGGAAGTAGATCTAGATCGTATTACTCATTGTTGTACTGTTGGATCAAATTGTACTAATTACCAAAACTTGACGTCAGCGGTCGGCGACCTCTCCCCACCTCCGACACGATTCAGCACTAATGCAACAGTTCTCACTCTGGCTGATTTTCTGCTGTTTTTTTTAATTAATTAAATACCTAATAATTTACAGCAAACCTGACATTATCGGAGGAGGAATGCGAGCAGCTACTAGACTCCAACAACGTAGCGCTGTTCGTCGACAACGTAAGTGCAATGAGGCCACGTCACCGCCACAGCGCAGAGCCGCGCGGCGTCTCGGCCTCACACTCAGAGTGTGGCGTGTCAATTCTGTTCCACTCGTAGCACAATTAGTAAATTGATTCCTTCAATATGCAATTTGCCGAGTGTTTACTTTTTTTCTGGGGCAAATAACAAAAGACCAGCGATAACAAAAACAAAATACACTAAAAACAAAACAAAATGCACTAAAAACAAAATATTCTCAAAAAAATAGTACACTAAAAAGTAACGAAATAATTCCTT